GAACTGTTTTTAATTTGCCTCATTAAGCTGCTGTTAACTACTTAAATCCATCTGCTTAAAAATAATTTACACATCTTAAGTTTGCTCTAGAGAGCAGGTAGACCTTCATTAGAGCAGGCTTTGTTATTAATGTTATCTTTAGGGGGCTTTCAGTTGTTGTGGAAAATGCTTTATTGCTCACTGAACCAAACTTTCCCTGTAAATGAAAAGGAAGTAGCACGTGTTTGTAACTTCCAGTCTGCTGCTATAACCGTATTCTTGGGAACCACTGCCGTTCATTTAGAAACTGGCTTGCTGTGGTGGAAGTTATTTACAGCCATTAGGTAGAGCTGGGTATGAGAAAGGAGAATGAGCTATGTGAATACCTAGTATCCCTATTATCTATTGCCATCGCCCCAAAATTAGTCCTGGAGGGGAAGAACAGCCAGATCTATCACAGTGCCTCAGCTGTAATTGAAAAGGGAGAACCCTGCTGCCTATGCCCTGAAGAGCTAGCTGAGGAAAAACAAGTTTGTCTCCCCAGATTTGTAAAGAAACAGTTTCACTTACAGAGAACAAATCACCAGAGAGCCACAGGCTCCCTCCTATATCAAGCTAAAATTCACTGTCATTTCAGTTAGGTAGCGTGTACGCTCCTTTCTGACCTGCTACGTATTTCTGTGGTTTGCTGTGAAATAATAGCCCTCGTTCTCATCAGACTGTTTCAGCAGTGAGCTAATGGATTGCTGATACAAATAAAATCGTTTGGAGTGAAGCTAGTGTTAGAAATACTAGATAACGATGGTGTGAGAATTTAAAAGAAGGTCTTCCACTCAGTCTGTGGGAAAGAGGTGGATGTGATTTTTGGAATATATTTTTGGAATAACTGAGCCACAATATTTGACTGAACATAGATTTTTTTTATCAGTAAATTAAAAAATCATTAAAATATTTCTATGAAATTGATTGGGGTTTTTTTTCTCAATTGCATGGTGTTTATTAAGAAGAAAAATGCCAATATTTAACAGGATGTAAATCTTTTGAAGTATCTGAGAAAAAATGTTGCTGTGAACTGTAAATATTGTTGTCTTCCTATTAAGATTTTATTTGGCTCTTTCTGGCAAGGAGGAAGCCTTGGAAGTTAGGCTTCTGCACTACAGAACAGGCTGACTGCACGGGTTTGCACACAACATGCTTTCAAGTGTGTGACAAACCAGAAAAAATACAGGGCTTTTTGTAATTGCTTTTGGTTGCAATAGTTGAAGGTATATTCTTTGCAACTGCAGCTACTATGTCTTTTAGTTTAAAATAAGACTTTCCAAAGAATCCTTGACTGGAATCCTTTTATGTTTTCCCAGTCATCTGGGCCTACATTTGAAAAAACGGGGAATGAAGAAAATACCGTAATTTGTCTTGACTGGAAGGAATGAATGTTCTAAAAATGTGTATGTGTCATGGAACAGAATATGTGGCTTCTGCCATACTTGATATGCCCTCATACTTATGTTCTCTTTGCTATATTTGTCTTAATCTGGAAAGAATTTTACTTGAGGATTTCACTGTGAAATACTTCTTCACAGTAAAAACCTTTGAATGACATAGAGCTAATTAAATAATTCTTGTAGATCAAATGTGTGAAAAATTAAATAAATTTTTAAATTTGCAAAATAGTTATAAACATTTTAAATGTCATACGTGCCTTCACAGCTGTCTACTGAACAGTGCCCAGTGCCGAGTCGCTATTGTAAACCCAGTTATTCAAAGCACGAGTTTTTCCTTTTTAGTACTCCGGATTGACATGCAAGGTTAGGGCTGATTAAAAAACTTCAAAATATTTTACGTGCAAAACATTTTTATGTGCGAAACGTTTTGAGTTGAGCTGAGTTAAATCTCTGAATCCATCTGAGCTGTAGCTTAAATAGCAGGAGAGAGTGATAACTACCGTGGACGTTCTGATGGTAAGTTTGGGTAGGGAGCTTTGCTTGTAGGAGAGAATGATATGCAATGACCCAAATCTACAGTTTTCACCAGCTATATATTTGCTAAGGAATCTTGAAAAATATTTCTTTAGCATTTCCACTCTAGGTGAGAGCAAGTTGTCAAAGTACTGCAATCTGTCACAAAAAGCGTTTTAATTTTCAGTCATTTCTAGTTATAGTCCTTACACAAAATGCAGCAAATTCTGCTTTAGCAACACCTTCTGACACTAGCAGAAGACCTGAAGATGATCTTGCCAGGGTGCATTTAATGCAGCTGTAGAAGTTGGAAAACTTGCTGTGCTTAAACCTCAGTTCAGCTGCTGTGGTGGCTTCCTTTTCACTTCCACCCTCTTTTGCCTGTTTTTTGCAGATGGGGAGCGGTCAGAGAAATAAAGACAGCTGTATCTTAATGCAGTCAGCTCCCTTGAAATACCGCTTCCCTTCTGTGTGAAAGATACCTGTCTGTGATGTCTTATCATGTGTGACCACCAAAAATATTTCTTCTGTCCCTTTCTTGCTGCTGAAAAGAAGGAACAGAATCAGCTTGCCCTTCCTGGCAGGTGTACCCTCTGGTCCAACTGTGAAAGGCATCAGCTGGGGAGTGGAGGAGCCCACTGTTTAATGAGAGAGGAGCCTTGAAAACTCCTAGTAGTTGAGATTTGGAGTGAGCTTTGTGAAATGGAAATAAAGAAAACACTGCTGCTGGGAGCTGCAAGGCCCTCGGAAGCCCTTAGCTTTACCATGTTTGCTTCTTACTTGCTGAGTGGGAGGAGAGTATCTGCTGTATCTGAGGGGCTTGCGCAGCTCTGTTCTCTGAACACATGAAGAAGGTGCAAAAAAGGCTGTCTAGGGGATGGCTCCGACTCCTGTGCATCCTGATGCTACTGGTTCCTGCGTTGCCTGTACTTTCATCTAAGACGAGAAGCAATGTGGAGGAAGAGAAGAGCAGCTAACAGGAGGGAAAGACAGTTCTCAAATGACTGCTTGAAGAATTAGAAGTGAAATGGGGTGTGTTTCTGGTAATTGACTTTGGAAACTCACCTGGAACGTGGATTTCTCTGTTTAGGAAATAAACCTTTTCCACTCATCTTCCTGCTCTTTCCTGCCCCGAACCCCGCTGGAGCTGCCCCAAGACGAACGCTGCTGAGGGTTCAGCAACCCTGTCCTGGTTGGGGACTGAGTGGATCTGTGAAAGAAATCTGGCAGAGGAGCAGCGCTGACTCAAGTGACAGAGCTCAGCTGGGGTGGAGGCAGCAGCTTAACAGAAGTAGTTTTAAACCATATCTCTTGTGAAGACAGTCCCTGCGTAGTGCTGACATGAGTTGTAACTTTGAAGTCTTGGGATGGTTTGTTTGGGTTTTTTTTTTTTTGTGAAAACCACAGACCCTTAGTTCTTGTGTCTACTTGAGAAGGCAATTGTGTATTGAAGGAGTAATTTCTAGCCCTTGCATTTGTGGGAGAAAGTGACTCGTGACCTGAATGCCCTCTTACAGCTCAGAGCTAGAAAGCTTATGAAAACTCATTGTTTGTAGTTAAATCACTGGGTGTGAAAAGGCTGTCTAAGAGACAGTGAGATACAAGAGAAGGGCATGAAGTAATTTGCTCCAAATTCACAAACTGAAACCAAATGGGAAGGCTACAGTCTTTCCACTTGCTCCTTCCTTTGTTTAGAAATCCACTGGTAAGTAGCAGAGGAGTCAACGGGCAGCTAGAAGAGTTAGGATAGAAGCATCTACCAGCTCTAACTTCCTACTCACATCTTCAGAGACAAGAGGGCAGGGTGGTGCTTGGAGGAAAAAGGAACAGAAGGAGAGCTCCAATCTCTCTTTTACACCTTTATCCCAGAGAGATTGTGAATAATACCACTTTTTTGAGGTACTTTGGAAAAGGAAGTATCATCTTTTCTTTTTTTCCACCCAGTAAAAGGGAACTTGCATGACTGTAGGGCAGTGCATTTCTGGCATTGTGACAAAGTTGGTCTTAAACATTTCTTCCGCCTAGCTTCAGCAGACTAAGACTGTTCTGGTGCTAGCATTTTGCGGGCTGTAATGCTGGGAAAGAAAAGGTTATGTGCTGTTCTGGTTGAAGTCACTTATTAAATCTCATAGAGTGTACTGCTTTTTGAATGAAGGGTGTACTGAGGTAGTGCTTACTGTGGTTGGAACAGGAGCTCTGAGACTGAGTCAGACCATCAGTAGGCTTTTTGTGGGGATGTATGATAGTTCACCTAAAGAGAAATGTAGGTAGTTCTCATGTGGTCTGTCAGCAGAGAGTATCAACGACTCTACTTGTGAAAGGCAACCTCTGCAAGGAAAAAAAGAAAAAAAAAAGGTGGCAAAAAAGAAATCTGCATGTTAGGAGGTCCAGTTTATGTGGTGGTGGATTCTAATAGTCAAGCAGCCTTACTTATCCTGTAGCACATGGTGTGGCTCTGCATGGCTGCTCAGGGGTGGTAGAACAGAGCAGGGCTTGTGTTGTACACTGCAAAGGCAATTTGCCTCCCTTTTGACTGAAATAATTTAAATAAGAACATTTGCTTTGAGACATTCATTAGTCTGTTAAGTAACTACCTTGCTGGAAATTAAAATCTCCTGGAAATAATTGGATTCTGTGTAGTTCATGGCAGTTAATAGCCAGCCACATGACCTGGTTACATCCTGGATACAGAGATCTTATGGGTTTTTTATATGTTTTTGTTTTTTTTTTTTACATATATAAAACAAATTTAAAAACCACCCCAAATCCTAGCAGCAAAACAGTTAGGTTCTGTGGAATGAAGTAAAAACAGGTTAAATTACATTTTTGATATGAGGAATAGTCTGTGCAGAATGACAAATAGTGAACACATATAGCCGGTTCCACACCTATGAAGGAAGTTCAGAGGGGATAGGGGATACAGTGTGGCTTTGTCCTGCTAAACAGTCTTAAAATATTGATAATTCTACAACAGTAGACCTCAAAAACATAAGTTTATATTTTGCATAAATTTAAGGTGCTATTATATAACAATTTCAACTTTTTTTTCCTATTTCCCTCCTACAGATCACACGTCCGTGGGCGGGCTGGGAGACAGTTTTTATGAATATTTATTGAAAGCTTGGCTTATGTCAGACAAGATGGACACGGAGGCAAGGAAAATGTACGACGATGCAATTGAGGTGATTATAATTCATTGAGTTTTCCAATACAGTGGAACTTAAAAAAAAGTCTTTAATACTTTAAAAAAACCAAAAAAACCCTACCCAAAACCAAAAAACAAGCCACCACAGAACTTGTTTTCATTATGTAAGTTGTAAGAAATCAAGTGATGAATGATACTAGCTTTCACTCTGAGTAGTTTAAAATATATTATTATGGAATATATCTGATGCAGATTATTGTGCTAAAAATAATCAGCTTGTCCAAAATGGTATAATGTAATAGCCTAAGCTACAGTTTATTAGAAAGAGATCTAGCAACCCTAAGATGTGTGCAGAACAACCAAGTCACTTTTCTACAGTGTTCAGAATCATTCTAGGAGTTGACGTCCTGAATTGTTTTATTCTTTAAATTATTTTCTAAAACATTTAGATGTTATATTCCATATTTACCTTGTAAAATGTAGTTCATACCTACTCCGTGTCTGTGGTTCTTTTGTGATATGGTCTTGCTCCCTCTGACAGATCAAGCAGTGCTTGCCCAAGCACGGCAGTACTGCAGGATGGTTCAGCGGGATTTGGGGTGGGGGCCTTTTTGTGGTGGCTCTGAGCTTTATGCTGCCCAGCTCTTACTTTCTGAGTTTCCCCTTACACAGGGATCTTTTTTCATCAGGCTCACTTGTGCCCATATATGCCAACATGCCTATGCTACAGTTAAGACACATAGAGAGTAACTAAGCTAGTTTTAGTCAAGTCAATAGTGGTACCAACAGCAACAAGGACCGTGTAGTCTTGTCCAAGTACAGATATGTGCTTGGTGCCTAATTTGTTCCATGCTCTGTGCGTGCTGTGTTGCTTTCAACACAAGCTTTTAAAGCTTAGTTTTAGTGCAGTCCAGTCAGTCTCCTAAAGCAAAACACCTGTTCTTGGAGTTCTCAAAATTCACATTTTAAAAGATATATAGTGAAAGTTGTAGTCCAGAATTGCTTTGAAGCTGTAATATGTTTTATTCCTGACCTGAATTTGATTACATTTGGCTTTCAGCTACTTGAACTTTATCCTTCGCTACATTGTTTTAAAGGGTTATCTGCATCATGTAGCTGGTTACTAACAAAGGTACAATAGGCATTCTCTCCTGAAAGAGAAATGTGTTTTTTCTTCAGTCTCATAATATAAAACAGATTTTGAATTATTTCTGAAGCTTTTTTCTAGGTACTTTCCAGTGTCTTCAGTATGGAGACAAAAATGTAATGGTTCTTCTAATATGTCATCGCATGATTTCTTCTCAGTGTTCTCCTCTTCATCCAGCCAAGAGCTGTGTTTGCACTCTTAACCTTTGCCTCGCACTGTCATCCACTTTCCAGTTGGTTTTACTCTGAAGTTGATTACAGTCTTTTTGATTTACTGCTTTCCTACTACTGTGATTTACATTCCCAATTTTTCGATGTATGACCTTATACTTATCTCTATTAAAACACAATTGTTCAGGCAAAACCCATTTTGTCATCTGTTCTGAATTGATTTTACAGGACTGACTTTTCCTTTATCACTATCTATAGCTCCATCAATTTTTGTGTCATCTGCAAATTTTTTTTTAGCATTTATTTCTTGCAGATCATTGGTAGAAATGCTGCCTAGCATTGAATAAAAGTATCTTTGCAGAATCTTCATGGGAAGAGGATTTTTCACAATTTTTTGTTTTACTTTGAACTATTCTAGCAAGCCAACTTTTAATCTACTTCATATGTGCTGTCTTGAATTTGTTTAGGACTAATATTTGTACAATACCAATGAAATTCCTGAAATTCCTAATGTTCCTAATATCAGCATGCACTTGTCAATCAAACATTTATTTTTGAAACCACATCATTCATTTTATATGATTGTTCTATTAACCTTTTAAAATACTGTTAAAGCATCAGCTGTTCCCCAGTCCTTTTGAACTTCCTTAGTTTTCCAGGTTTGTTAAAGTCAACATTAGTAGTTCAGAACATTAGTTGAGTACTTCTTATAGTCTAATATACAGTTTATTGAGTCCTGTGGGTTTAAAAATGTTTAGCAGTTGTTGTTTAACATCCATTGTGGTTACTGTTGAAATACTTTATTCTGATTCCTAGACTGTGAGCACTTTAAAATTTGTCCTCTTCACGGTAAGCCCAGCCTTGCAAACATTTTGTATGGGCAAATGTCTGTCTTGAATGGAGACACAGCAAAGCAAATTCGGGACCAGATAAAAACACACTGTGGATAGGAGGGAGAAAGAGCTGAGATGCTCCAGCTTCATGTGTCATATGACCTGCAGTGCAAGCATCAGATGGTTTCCTCTTCGGCTTTCTCTCAGCGAAACCTACCCATGTACATTTGAAGCTGCATGAACCATACTGATTTATGCATTGTGGAACATCCTACTAGTTCAGGGTTTGTGTTTATCCCAGGTCCTACTTGACATTGAAAGACATGTGCAAGGAGTCAGTGAGTAGGATTTGTTTTACATAATTGCAATTTGAATTTTTATTTAAAATCTTAAAATATTTTAAAGAGCTCATTCCCTTGCCATTCTTTTGTGGTTGCAACATAACATAGGTCTTCCTCCATAGCTGACACCTGACACTTCTTACTCTTTTCACCCCCCCCCAC